CGTGAGAAATCTACAGTCCGCGGTAGTAGTGCGTCCGATCAAACACGTCGCGGACAAAACTCGTGCGACGACATGTGTAAGTACACAAAAGCGAAGTATAACCGTCTGTTTTTCGCGAGGGCACCCTGCTTGACAACTGAGCAAAGATTCATTAAGGTTAAGTGCTTGCAGTCCGTGCCACCATCGAGACAAGAGGAACGAATTTCTTTCGTGTCCTAGATTTATTGTCGCGAGCTTCGAATCGTTTTCTATTAAAAGAAAAAAAAAAAAAATAAATGGCTTACATTTTCTGGAATTATATCCCTACGGAAATTCTTTCCTTATTTTTGAAAATCTATAGTTTAGCGATACATTTAACTACGGTTGGGTAAAACGTTGTTATAAATTATACGCGAGAGAAAATATTTTGCTTGTCGTGGTAAATTTTCAAGATAGCAATGAATGCTGAAAGTATTGCTTCGTCTTGAAATATTTCGTTTATTTTAATTTCATTTCGTTCATTTCGAATGTTATTGCTGGAAACAACGATACACTGAATATTTCCTAACGTTTCGTTGTACGTTATCAACATATTATTAATGATTAAGAATGTACAATTTGAACGAAATTTACGAATCCTGTTCGCAATTTTAATTGCCAAATTTTATCTCCTATTTAAAATAGATACTATTTCAATTAAATCATCTAGTAGCATCTAACATTTTTAATAGCACAACATCTTCTCCTCCAAATTTTACCCAAATTCTTGATTTAGCAATAAATGAATTGAACGACAAACGAATACCGTTGATTGTTCCTCTTGCTTCTTCTCTCTAATCTCTGACCGTTTCGAGAAGGATTATTTCAATAAAGCAACACGTCCACCTGGAGGAGGAATATACGTGTGTCGGGCGTGTATCATCTAACAGGCGAGCATACTCCATACATGTATACAAGCGTTTTCCACAAGCGTTGCATGTGTATCGATACGCGTGAGTATTCTTTTAGCACCGAGTTGAGTGACCTACTGACCCGGCACACACGCTTAGGCACACACAGAGGCATGTATATGTAAAATTTCTCGGCAATGGCAATACGTTTTTACCGGGTAGATACCTATGTTATCTATGAAGCGAGATATTAGATATTCGATCGATCGGCAGCAGAATTAATCGACGACAGTGTGTCGAAAATTAACCCTCCATCCGTCAGTTTAACACATTTCTCTTGTAAAATTGCACTCTAGATGTATATAGATAGATGAGATTCTGTCTATTTTCCTAACACATAGCATATATATATATATATATATATATTTTTTTTTTTGACATTTTTTTAATAGTAAAACGTGTTGTCAGAGTAATAAATAATGTTCGTTCTCAAAGTCCCTTAACTGACAGTATATTGTCTTTTGATTATTATATAACAATTACGATGCATCAGTTTTTCGGAAATGCGTGCAGACATTTATAGTTTTGTAGCATTTACTATCTAGCTGCAAGTGAAACGAATGAGCTGGGAAACGAAGATAAGATCACAATATGAAATTAAGATTAGAGCCACGTATTAAAGTATAATACTTGTATTAGATAACTGAGGGACTTGCAATGAAGAATACAAGTTTTAGTATTCGTTTATATATTTTACGAAAAATCATTAAAAATCTCTAAAACAATTTATCGCAAAATTTCTATGCAAACTTAAGAATTGATCGTTTTGACAAATTATTGTAGTTATGTAACTGAATAGAAACCTAGTCTATTTATCGTTAATAAAAGAGTTTAAATAAATTTAAGTAGATTTATCTCTTCGTTAATAATAATTTTTTATAAAAAAAGAAATCATTCAAACACTGTATTATTTGAAACGTTTCTGTTATCAAAAACAAAGGAAATATTAAGTGAAACACCTAAAGAGATATGTATTCTAATGTTTATACATAGTAGAATCATATATTATTCGTATGGTGAAATTAGCTTTAATAATTACGAAACAATTTTAACGGGGATACGATGTTTCTACAACATATATACGTGAGTGAAATATCCGCAAAAGTTGTCGTAACGCGAAGTGCATTGATTGCACCGTGTTGCGTTCGTTTTCGATTACGCGAAAGCTAACAACTGCGTAATCTAACAATGAAGTCATTCGAGTTCAATTGTTCAACAATCGAAATCCTTAATTTGAATTCGACTGTTCTCTTTGACTTTTAGGATCGATTGAATAAATCGTTTAATATAAAAGTATAATATTTCGCATAATGATTCATGAATACTTACCAGCAAAATTTTTATGTATGTATTTATATAAAACATTTTGAAAGTTTATGATTGTCTTGTTAAAACTTAGAATGGAATCTCATAAAGTATTTATATAGAATATTTATATAGAAGTTACGAGATATTTATTGCAAATATATATTTAGTAAAAAGATTAGTGTACAGCATAAATAATCTTAAATATATAATGAATACTGAACCATTGAATACTGAGAAATATTGGTGTAATAAGTATTAATACCGTTTTAAATATCTCGTATTTCACATTTGTTTCAGATTTGACTAATCAATCTTCAAAAATCTATATATTTTTATGCATTTGTAAAAAAATTTGAAACTGCAAAAATACGCAAAATGTATATAAGATTAAATAGATATGAAAATACCGAACGTGAAGCACTTATATCTAACAAGTGAAACAAATCTCAGTTTAGATTTTATTTCTTTAACCATGCTCATAAGAATTTAAATTTGCATAAACATCCGCAGTTTAATGATCATCGGATTAAAAATTTTTGAGAGTACGATTAGATTATCGATTAGAGTTAAGATTCACACAGTAAAATATTTTCATAAAAAATTCTTGTAAATAAAAAAAGTACCCAACAGTGAAGAAGAACTAAGTAAAAATTCTGTAATAATAAAATTATATTTTACACCGTTTCTGCACAAAACAGACTGAAGATTAAACATTCGAAATGTGCTATTAAACCAAATGAGCGAAAAATTGCACTACGGTTCAAATATTTACAAACTTCTCTAGTCGGAGTATATGAATAAAGAAAAATGGGAGGAAGTTAAGATAGTAATCGGTGACTTACCCGTCTTGTTTTCAAACGTGGAAGAAACACCTTGACAGGACGAGCAATAAATCAACCCCGCCAAGAATAACCATCTACATAGTTGATTCGCCGATCCCTCCAACATCTTCTGGAACAATCAAATTCTTAGTAAGATGATGTATTATTAAGTTTCAGTCTTTTGCACGGTGTGATGCCAATCTAGTGAAGAATATAACTAGAAACTTCACGTATGTAAATCATTTTTCATGATATATATTTTCACACAATATTCAGAGATATTGTTTGCAATTAATGCTAATTTAACCTTTAAACGCACACGGTCGCAAATTTGCAACATCATTAACTTGAAAAAATTGTGCATTTAACCAATTTTTGCCTATTAAAGATATTCGTTAATTCAGTTTGGTTCCATACGAATAAGATTAAGTAATAATATTGTAATTAGTTATTTTCTAATTGTTTTTGTAATTGATTACTAAAAGTAATCATAGTAATCACAAGCCAATTAATCATTTCTGACACAAGTCAATAGTCATAAATACATTAATTTGTGATTTGTAATCATTTAATGCATGATTACAAATACCTTTTATTATCCAATATCATTATAATTACCATGATACTAAATTTCTGTTAATTGTAATCAAACACATAATTATTCCGTGATTAATGGTTATTGAGTTGACCGTGTTCATTGATTACATTGTTAATTTCAGTTATTTATTAGCCACAACTACTGGATTATAATCAGTGATTGTAATCAGTAATCATGAACATGGATTCGTAGGTTAGTTATAGTTGTCAATCAAATTACTTTTTGCTTAATTCTGTCTGATTATTACCAAAATCTTGTACAAATTGTATTAGAAAATGCATTAAAATCATCCTGAAAATCAAAAGATTGTAGAATAAATATTAACTAGCTACTAAAAATTGCAAAAAATATTGCACAAAACTGAATACTTTTTATTACAGGCAATAAAACGTTCTCAATATTAAAAGATTGTTCATATTTTAGTTACCTGATATCTTTTTTCTAGATATTTTCACATTTCCATTTTCTACAAAAATTGGGCAAATTTACTGCAGTTGAAAACTCTGGTTGAAAATAAACACTTTATGAAGATACTGAGCAACTTTTTTTAAATTCATCATGGTCCTTTACGACCATTTCTTAAAATATGTCGTGCGATTTTCTTCTTTACAAAGTTGCAAGCATTCAAAATATCGATAACTTTTCATCGTGTGTGCGAATACTTTCCACATATAATACTTCTCACTGAACACAATACGATTGCAATACTAATTCATTTTACACGATGAATTATTAATAAATTCGGTAAAAGGGGACCGTAGATCAGGGAGTGGAGCAGAAAAGACGGTTGAAATGGTGAGATACGCGCACGTGCGCCTGCGCACGCGCAGTACTCGCCTGTGTGTTCGGATTCAAAAGCGCCGACGAACGATACACAATACTTTCACCCGAGACACGTGCAAAACGTCGTAGTTAACGTCACGACGGTCACATAGGCCGACGAATTTTGTCCCTTGGCCAAATCTACTGTCTGATCGCTTCGTTTCTCGATAATATAATCCATGCGAACAATTCGAGCATCCTCGTACATCCCACGTACGTATATGCAATCAGCTAACCTCAAATTCACTCCGCAGTCAACAAGATAGAACTGCGAGGAACGATTCCAAGGAATCTTGTAGCAAGCACGTTTGGCAAACTCGTACATACCGACGGCGCGGTGAACATTTGAAAACGAAGGGAAGTAGGTCAGACGAAGGGGTGTTTGTTAATGCACGGGTTTCGGAAAGGCTGCTGTAAAGCGGTTTCCATCGTATTTGCACGTGCGATCGTGGTACTATATTGAAGCGGGGAAGAAGTGAGAAAGAGAGAGAGAGATAGACACGTGGTAACGGTAGACAGTGCTCCAGGCGCCGAGATCTTCTCTCGTTCCTTCTTTTTCTCGTTCCTTCTTTCTCTTCCCCCCCCCC